TTTGGAAAGACTGTTGACAGAAATGGGAGAGACTGATGCCAGTGCCATATTGAATATAAAGGAGTACACATGCGAGTCACCTGCTGGCGAAAAATCACGTTTGCCAGGAGGTGAGGAGGATGCGTTGCAGCCACGTTCAGAAGGCGTTGTAAGGCAGAAAGAGGAAACCAGGATTTGCACCCGGCACAGCCTTCGAATCGTGCATTCCCCACGTGGATCATCAGTTCGCATCACTTCCTCTTCTACTCGACTTATCTGAAGGCAAAACAGCAAGCATAAACAGCCAATACAAACGCCAATCTCGATCTAGTAGCCTTCTAACCAGGCTCGAACATGTGCTCTACACTGTGCTACATTACGTGCTATTACATGCGAAGAATCGCAATGAAAGAGAAGATCTATATGTATCTATCAATCGCTGTCCGTATCTTCAGGCTTCGGCCCCCCATAAGCCAACCAATTCAGCTTCCGTATGCGACGCCGCTCCTCCTGCGCTTTCAGTTGATTCCGCGTCTGCTTCTTCTTTTTCTTCGGCAGGGCATTGCCTGGCTCTTTGCCTTCCGTGCCACTTCCGGCAGGAGTCGCACTGGCAGAAGCCGCCGGCGTTTGGGTGCGCGACTTCACCGGCGTGTTGGCGCCACTACCTTTTGGCGTCCTTCCGTCAGCGAAGGCGTCTTCGATGACAGCGGCTTTGCCCTTGTGCGTCAATCGACCGCCATCAACGTTCCAAATTTCAGGGCCTTGTGAGCACGTGGTTAACAGTCAGCCGAAGTAACACGAGACCAAAGCAAGAAAAAAGAACGTACACAAAGCTGTGACGAACTCCGAGTTATGCGAAATTATGACCTAAAGACCAATGAGAACAGGACAAGAATATTTGACTGCAACAATTCTTACCACTGCGCCGGCCCAATCACGGATAGCAACAGCCAGGCCACCAAGAGCCTCGCGATCCAAGAAGTTACTGGGCTCATCGAGAACGCAGATCTGAGAGAAGAAAATAGATTAGATTTCATCATACCATTAAATAACTTGACGGGCTTACCTGAGGGTTATTCCACAAGCAAGCAGCGATAACCAGTTTAATCTTTTGACCTGCATATTCATGCTTTAGTACGCGGTCAGACACAAACTTTTCATTAGACGTACCTCCTGATAAACCGGAAATTTCATTGTACTGTGCAATATCGCCGTCAAGTCCGATATCCTCAAGATGTTTACGAACAAAATTCGCTGCAGTATCTCGCTGACCAGCGCCTTCCCGTGAAGATTCGAGGTCATCGAACTGCTGGACAACCTTTGAGAAGCCCTTCGAGAGTAATTCCTCCCGAGAAATCCATGTGTTGAACCTGTGATCATGCCCCCTCCACTTGATCTCGTATTGGAAGGACTTTTTAAGTTTTTGCCTGCCAAGGATGTACTTCCAAGAAAATTAGCTTCCGAGTCTTGTTATGAATGTATTTCCTTCTCATTACCTCAAGCTTACGTGTTGACCCGTCTTTGCCTACGAAGGGTACCTCCATCTGTGCCTTTTCCTCTTCGGTAAGCACTCGGGTAGCCTTCTCAAGGATTTCGCCTACACCAGTCTTTAGAACGAGAAAATCGGGCTACAAAAAAAAACTTACGATCGTGTCCGTCTTGGTATCGCCATTGGATGTATTGAATAGGCGTCTTCTCCAAATGTTGCTCTTAGAATATCCGTTGGTACTCTGTACCTTTTATAAAACATGTTACTCACCGATATGATGGGTCGCGTACTGCGAGACGTAGCCTATACGAAGTGCCGGATGCTTGTAAACAGCACCTTGTTGGGGAACAGTCTCGCCCTTGCGAATGAAAAGTTTCAGTATTTCAAGACAGTCTTGTATCTCGAGGAAGGTCCTTACAGTCAATAACTTGATTAATGTCGACTTTCCGGCGCCATTCGGACCAATGATACCTACACGACTATGATTTGCAGTTTCTTTATTTTAATTCCATCTATAATGAAAATAACGGAATTTACCTCGAGAGCGAGAGCGCACAGCTGACGTCGTACAAACTTGGCACGTCGCGTCCGGGATACGTGAAGGTGCAATTTGACATCTTCAGGATAGCACGCGTGTTGCTGCGGACACCCATGAGCGAGCCTGGGGGCGGGAAGGAGAATTTGACAGAAGTGGCAGCGAGTGTGTAGTACGACTTGGCCTCCGGATGAATTTTTACGAAATTTGAAAGATTACCGCGGTAATATACGAGCTGCGGAAAGCGGTTAACATATTCATAGACGATCTCAATTGGCTGTACGCACTTTTTTGGACTCGTAGTGAATTATATCTGTTGTAACGTGATCCAGGAAACTAAGAAATGGCAAACAATCAGATATTACCAACCAGAAGGGATAGAGTAAAACTGACCTAGAATCATGACTGACAATAACACATGTAACATTTTTACGGGAAGCAAGGTAATCTTCCAGCCATTTTACAGACTTGACATCCATCTATAATCCACCGGTTGTAAATCGTTGACCACAAAAACAAAGGTCATGAATTCCTTACATGATTGGTAGGCTAAGGGAATTTCAAATATATATTCAGACGATAATAGGCCCAGTAAAATATGAAACTTACCTCGTCCAAGAGTAAAAGGTCAGCGTCATACAACATTGCGCGAGCAAGTTCTAATCTCATCTTCCAGCCTCCGGATAGGCTTGCTACGAGCTGCTTTTGAAGCTGCTCATCGAAACCGACCTCGGAGAGCTGCTGGATAATTTTCTCACGAGGGACGTCCGTCATGGCTTTATCTTAATACACGAGTGTCAATGCAAGACTAATTTTCCTGATAAGAGAACAGACCTTTGATAATGAAGTCGAGAATTGACAAAGACGTGTCCTCTCCTTGTAACGCGTGTTCGACCATCACACAGCGCAACTCGCTCTGCGGAGGGAAGTTTTCGACTTTTCCGTCACGTAGCTGACGCATCAGTGTCGATTTCCCAGAGCCGTTCGATCCGAGGATACCATATCGTCGCCCGCGGATAAGCCGGAGCGACGTGTGTGATAGCAGCAGGAGCGCACCATATGCTAGAGAAAAAAGCGTGTTACACAGCACCTCGCCCTCCTCCTCGTCGCCGTTCTGCTCGGGCGCATATTTTGCGCGGTCAATAGCTTCGTAGTGCACCCTGACGCTCTCCGAATACTTGGCGGCATTGTCCACGCTGTCGGACAACCAGGGAACCATGAAGGAGCCAATCGCGCGATTCCAGGCGTCTTTATCTGAAAATTTCCGGAAATGAACGAGGTCGGCAACCATATTTGCTTGAAAGTCTAGTGATGTATTCAGGGTAGAAGAAATGGAGAAGCCCGAGGGTAGCAAGCTGATCATGTCAACTTTGGAAGAAGCTGTGTTTTCTATTATGTTTCTAGTAGGAGGAGGAGGGCCAGAGGAGGATGCTCCGGCTTTCATGAGCGTATCGTACGCAGACTTAGCAAACGCTCGGACCTGAAGATTCATCAGTTTGGGTGTCGAAAGTAGTGTAACCCAAGCTTACCTCAGGGAATGATGCGCCCTTCATGATTTTCTCGACGCCGTCTACAAGGCCGCTCAAATAAATGGCGGCCACATTAGGATCACGAACAAGCTTGACAAGGTTATCGACGACGACAACCGTTCGGCGTTGCACTTCCATGCTGCGATCATTCAATGCACGCATCAGAAGGGGAACCACGACCGCCAGAGCGGGCGCTGTCACTTCCGCAACAAACGTGGTCGACGATAGAGCCTTCATGCATGCCTGGACAGACGACGGATTTGACATGCATTCCACCAGAGTGGGTATGTGAGGCGTTAAATCAGCATTAGCCACCGTTTTGCACAGTTCTGTCGCGCATTTTTTTGCTGCTGTCGATACCTATCGGTCCAGCTTGCAGTCAGATTGACAAGTTCCGAAGCATATAAATTGAAACGAACCTCAGGCTTCGTGTCATGCATGGCCTTCTCTACTTTTGGCAGCACATCGCCGAGCTCGTTGGCAACCTCGTCCTTCGCTCGATTGACGAATCCTCTGATCGAGTCCAAAGCGCCCACTTTGGTCCGCCATTTACCCTTCTCTAGAATATCTTCCAAGTGATCGAAGACAATGCGCGTAGATTCAGGCGGGAAAAGCTTCAGAATTGTTTTAGTGGCGGCGACTGCGGCTATCCGCACGACATCACCCTTGTCCATGTACAGATCCATGATGGTCGGAAGAGACGTAAGCAAGATAGGGGCGGCAGGAGTACCAAGGATTGAGGCCAGATACTGAAAACCTATGGCAGCCGATTCTCTTTCATAGCCAGACTTTTTGTTCGTCGCAAAAGATTGCAAAGTGTCGAGAATTTTGGCATCTCTGAGATAGCCATTAATGAGTAAATAGCAAGCGTTCGCAAACCCCGAAGAAGTACGAACATAAGGTATTGTAATCCTCTTCTCTGTACTTCCCGGGCAAGCGAATCGGCCGCTGCCTTTGCATCTTGAAATGACGGTGTTAGATATCATCCTTCAGAGAAAACTTCTTCAACCTACCTGGCGCTGTTGGTGCACTTTTGAGTGCGTCCGCCAGCGGAGCGAAAGAAGAATCTGAAGGAACTGGCATGATGTTCTATGGCGAGCTCAGACAGGAATAATCGTAGCAAATTGCGGTGGCAAGTCCTGTCCAGAGTTGTCTAGGGTTCGCTGCGCGCTGTTGTTGTCAGTCCGAGGTCTGTGCGGTGCCAGTAGCTTGCCACGCCTTCAAAGTTTAGCCCAACCTTAGCCTATGTAATTGGAGAAGGTGTGTCAGACCGCAAGTCGAGTCTTGGTGAATACAGTGGACAAGCGTCCCAGACTCGAGTCGGACCTAAGCACGATTGAAGGAACGAAAATCGCAGCCAAAATTTGCTTCATTTGACTTTTGCCTCACGTAAGAGACAAAAGGAAAAAAGTTTAAGGGAAATTTGAATGCATTAGCAGAGAATCGAACTGCGTCCATTTAATGCTCGGCATTAATGGGGTAGTGGTAACCTGGGTCGTTGCCAAGTATTGCATATATACTACGTAATTGACCGTCGACCCGCCGGGGGTTCGATTCCCTCTTAATGCATGAGATGTCTAACACTCGTTTTTTTCTTCTTAGGGGATATACCGGTCCTTAGAATGATCAAGTGTTTTTCTAGTATCATACATTGCACTGCATCTCTTATTGACTGAACCGTTTCTGCAGAGAACCTGATTGAAAGTTCTTCCCAAAACCCCATAAATGCACATACTTTAGGACTGAGCAAGACACATCTATGAAGCACACCGACACTGGAAGATGTTCTGAACCTGTTCTTAGCGACGAAGCCACAGAGTAAGTAGGTGAATAATGCAACAATGCATTGCTTGTAATGTAATTCATCAATTTACAACAACAAATTAAAAAAAATGTGGACCCTTCATGGCATCCCATTCCTCATATTATCGAAGAAGCTGTGTTCATAGCGCAGCCAATTGGGACTTCTGTCCAGCTGGCCCATTTTCTCCTTCACGACCTTAACAAGACTCTGACCCGGCTGCGGCGCCTTCCCTTCGCCCCCTTCCATCCCCTCTCTTTCGCCCTGCTTGTCGCCACTCAGCTCCCAGAACATGCTTCCCCCGAGTCCTTCCTTCTTAATCCAATCGCCCTTCCATTGGCCGACCTCCTCCGAGTCGAAGCTCACCATCTCCCGCTTCTGGTAGTCGAACGACCAACTTGCAAGTGCCTTTTCATCGCGCATCATAAACGAACCTGGCAGCGGCAGTGCGCGGTAGTCGTACACGCCGGTCTCCCAGGATCCGGGACCGAGGCCTGAGAAAGGCGTACCTGGCCATCCGTGTTCATGAAGCTGCGCCCGTAAAGGGGAATTCCCATAATAATTTTGTTCCGAGGCACACCATGGGCGATATACCATTGAATTGACTCATTAGAGTTGATCGGCCCGCCGTAAATATTGGCCTGGTGGTTTGCGATTGTGTCCCATGAGCCAGCTTTAATGCAAACGTCAGACGGATTTGGGTATATCTGCGATGTATACGCACAGTAGTCATAGGCCATTAAATTCCAGAAGTCAAGGTATTTATCCATGTCACCTATGTGGAGCCTTTTATAATTATCCGGCCCACAAGGTGCTGCAATCTGAGGGCCACGCCAAACCAGCCGTTCAGCATAAAACCACAAGAGAAGTGTGTACCACTTACGGTCAATAAAAATCTATAATCTATCCCCTTTTTCTTCGCGTGCGCATCCAAGCCTTCCCTCAGCTCCTTCAAAAGAATAACGTACCCTTGAGCCTGGTACGAATTACTCGGATACTCATAATCAATGTCCAGACCATCCAGACCAAAATCCTCCAACATCCGAATCGAACTATCAACGAAGTTCTTGCGGGCCAGCGAGGAGACGACGACCGGGTGGAAGTGCGGGGAGTACGTCCATCCGCCAATAGAGAGAAGCACTTTCAGGTGCCGGTTCTGCTGCTTTAGCTTGTAGATTGCTTTGAAATTGCCGTAGAGGTTGTTTCCTGCGTCGTTCCACGAGTCACCTGGGTAGTGAATGTCTTTGTCCGCCCATCCATCGGACAAATGCACGACGCCGGAGTCCGCGCGTACATCAGCAAACGCATAGAGAATATGTCTATATAATTACAGTTGGCAAGATTGAGCCGGTTTTGTAATACGTTGAGACGTACGTCAGATCTTCCACGGGTATTTTTTGAGGAGGGAACTTTCGTCCGTAGATACCCCTAAAGTACTCTCAGTCTCAATTCTTGCTGAAAAAGGTATAAACACGAACCAGTTCACAAAGCTGTACGATGCATGTAAGTGAATGCTGGTTATAGGTAATTGACTGAATTCACTCACTATCCGACACTGTACTTTCCGGACATCTTGCCTTCTCCTTCTTTTCCACTTCCTTCAGACGGTTTCTCCGTAGGTTGTGCGATGGGTGTCGATATCACCGAGCTACTAGAGCTGGAACCCTGTTCTTCGGAGCCTTGCTGAGGAAAATGGTCACTAGGCACGTCTGCGTCCGGGTCTCTAAACCAGTATCTGTAGAGCGCAGTGAGGAGGAGGCAGACGACCAAAGCGAGGAGAATCAGTTTGGATCTTCTGGAACGTGCTGGCTGCTTCACGTCTTTCTGTTGTGGCCCGGGAGTGTTTGGGTCGTCCACAGATGGGACGAGTTCGTACTGCGCGGACATGGTGTCTTCTGCTGCGTGGGACTGACGTCAGTTATAGGTCCGTTGTTCCACGTGCTTATACGGGAATTTGCGGGACCTTACATACCATTGGCGGTGATCGGAATAAAATCAAATTGAAGTGACAATAAATCATACACTGACTGTTTACAGCCGCTAGCGAAGCAGTTTTTGCACGTACATACAACAGGCTACATATATCTAAAAACATCTACACGTAGAAATGTCCAATAAAGTTAGAGATGCAATCGAAAGCTTATAATTATAATAGCTTGGTAATAACACCCAGGCCCTTCGATAACGAATAGCAATTGAGACCGTCAGAAGCGATGATTTTGTATAGAGAACCCAGCATGCTTTACCTTCGTCTTTCCTTCGCGAAACAGCAGCTTCATGCCCTCCTTGATAAATTCGGGGTGGGAAATAAACTCAAATTCTACAGAAGCGCGATCGCCAGTGCGCAGGACGCCCTGCGGATTGTCCATTTCAATGATCTTTACGGTTTGTCGAACAGCCTGTTGATAACGTTAGTAGAGAGAATAGCTGTACAGATTAACACCTACTCCGCAATGAAGCATTGCCTTGAAGTTGGGAGTTAGTAAAATTAAAGTTAGATTGATAACGTAAGTTAGAACGTACTTGATAACCCTTCTGTAGTGTAGTGTTGTGGCTGGATAATCTCAATCAACAATACCCCATTTTCTCCGTAAAATTGACTTACTACAAGATAAGCACTTGTCCCATAAACCGGCGAATAGCTAAAGACATGCGTTAGACTATAGTTGTTAGATGAAAAGACGGGAAGAAAATCACCTCGCGGCGGCGTTTCGGTCCTTGCAACAATGACCATACCCTTCCGTACAGCAGCACGGCGCATGCGCTTCAGGGCGAACGAGACGCATTGTCCGGCATCAGCTGTTGTGACAGTAGCACTAAACTTGGATTCAACAACTATACTGCTGGGAATACATTATAAATACTCACCGTTTCCTCTGTATGCTTTTAATGACTGTGGAATGCCATGCGCCATTTGAATCCGGGCCAAGATAGATCGCGTCACCGACTTTGACGTGTCCTGCATTCAATATACCATTCACCTACCGTTCCGACGTAAGGAACAGACCAGACTTCAGTGATCGAGTACTTAAGAAATATCAATACTAAGAAGCTCTTGCAATATCGGCAGATTACCTCCAACGGTTGATCAGCCGCAAACTTATTGCTATCCCCTTCACTAGGTGGCAACAAATTTAAGAAAGTGCGAACGAGGTCGAGGCCCTGGCCGGAAACATTGGAAAGCTGGAAAACTGGGCATAATCTGGCCAAGCATTAATGTTGGTCCGATTTTTCTGAAATTGGTTTCTTCACATACCGCTCCTGCGCGAAAACTTGTGACACTTCAACTGCAGTCTCGAGGGATTCAATGAAAACAGGAGTTTTTCGGCATCCAGGACTCTTGAGTATCTTCACGACTTGCTTGATCGTCTCTGCTAGGACGTTCGAGGGAGTCATGTCAATCTACACATACAAATAAGCGCATCAATTCAACCCGCATGATTAAAGTTTACCTTCGTGATGCACACTACTACTGGTACGTTAAGTGCGAGCGAAATGGCCAAGTGCTCTTTGGACATGCCAATAAGACCTGCGTTAGCACCGACCATGAGCATCACACATGATGGCGACCCAGAGGTGAGACCATAAAGTGTAGTCTTTAAGTATTTTTCATGACCAGCAAGGTCTACGTGAAACCAATCAGTAAAATTAAGACGGACTACTGTCGAACATACCGATGAATGAAACGACCTTGGCAGCCTGCAATGTGATTTCGTCCCACCCTAGTTTCTCCCTCCTAATAACATCCTGATCCATAGATGATGCAGTCGCAGGAAGGATCGGCTCTCCAGAGGGAGCGAAACCTAAGATCTAAAGAGCAAGCCAGCGTCAGAAGCTAGAACTTGATTCCGCTCCATATACTATTTCCTCAATTTGAACTGGATGTCTTAAAGTACTTACCTCCATACCAACACTTGAGGTCCTTCCTGTTTCTACTTCGTGCTTATGTCGGAATAGTCCGACTCGTGCACGACCCCTTCCATCATCCAGACCACCTTCCGGCATATTGAGGATTTCATATCGTACTATACCGGAAGACTCACCTCGAGTCAAAACACCCAGTGTCGTCGACTTCCCACTGTCGACATTGCCAACTACAGCACACCGGACTTCGGATAAAAGCGCCACCTACATAAAAGCGCACTTGTGAGTCCGATTAGATTGCAGTCAGTGCAACTTTGTCAAATGGCTCACGCTAGGCGGAGGCAATCTTAACAACAACGCAGTTCTTAAATGAGATTCGGAGAACGGGTATAGTGTCGATACCTAACAAAGTACATAAGCCAAACAACGACTCTGAAGCCCAGCTGATTATAAATGCTACCTTGCCACCAACTTCCTCCACAAGCCTCGAAACGGCTCCACGGAGGCGATGCAGCTCATTCTCGGAGCGTGGCGCTCCTAACCATCCGTCTGCACTGGTGGATAAGTTTCCAGCAAATAGGGATGCATGTGGCGGACGACGCCCAAATCGCAGAACGTATTCGCCTTTATGACGCGTCAGGAGTCCAGCTAAGATGTCCCTTGCACGGTCGTGGTCTGCGTCGTCTTCCGATAAGAGTATCGTCTGAAACCACAGTCAGAAAGAAGTTTAAAGACGCGCAAGGAAAAGGTGCATCACTTGTAGCTCTTCCTCGGCCTCCGGCTCGCCATCTGTTGCTAGAAGCTTTGCAGGAACTTGCGAAACTGTCGAGGTAAGTTTCTCCGATGGTTTCTTGTTCTCTTTCTCGAGCTCTGCATGACCATGTGCACGCTGCTTGGCAATTTC